CAGTCAATTCAAGTTTGGTGGAGAAGCAATTGTGAATTATTCTATACGTAGAATTATCTCACTTCAACTCATTATTATTTTTATTGGATATAAAAATATATAGTACAACTTGTTCACAAAATAATATTTGTTGAATTAAATATATAAATGTAGGATATTCTGTATCACTTCCATGGTCAACGCGGATGAAAATAGCACTTGGAGCTGCAAAAGGCTTAGCTTTCCTCCATGAAGCTGAAAAACCAGTCATATATCGTGATTTCAAGGCTTCAAACATCTTGTTAGACTCCGTAAGTTATTTCTTCATTCACTTTTATATGCATTATTAATAATTTTAGTTTTATTAATGTGCAAATTATCATTGACTTTGACATATATACCAAACTTTGTGCATGTCACTTTAGAAAATAACATAATTCTTTATTAATGTGGTCCAGGATTACAATGCTAAACTGTCAGATTTTGGACTTGCAAAAGATGGGCCAGAAGGAGATGACACACACGTCTCCACCCGAGTCATGGGAACGCAAGGCTACGCTGCTCCTGAATACCTCATGACCGGTAATATTTCATTTATCAACAAAATTGAAATTAATTATAAACTTTTGTGACTAATGTTTTCAAATTTAATTTGCACAGGTCATTTGACAGCTGCAAGTGATGTATACAGTTTCGGAGTAGTATTACTGGAGCTTCTAACTGGGAGAAGATCGGTAGATAAAAGTCGTCCAAACAGAGAACAAAATTTAGCAGATTGGGCAAGACCTCAATTGAAAGATGCGCGTAAACTAGGTAGAATAATTGATCCAAGATTAGAAGGTTTATATTCAGAAGAAGGGGTTCAAAAAGCAGCATTAGTAGCTTACCAATGCTTAAGCCATAGGCCAAAAGCTAGACCAGATATGAGTACAGTTGTCAAAACACTTGAAACATTGAAGGATTATAAGGATATTTCAACCATGACATTTGTGTATATAGCTCCAGTTGATCAACACAAACAAAGTCCTCAAAAGGAATTAGTCAACAAAAGAAATACTAATTCTCATCATCATACAAAAAGTCCACATAAGAGATTAACTCCAAATTCACCATTGCACAATGATTTCCATAGAGCTTAAACAATTGTATACATCCACATTTTTTTAATTTTTTTTACCTCATAATACTCAAAATTCTTTATTTTTTCATTGAGTGTATTTGCTAGATATCAGTGTTAGTGAAGACAAGGCAGATATCAACTTTGTATATGTTATATTTCCTTTTGGAGTTTTTAAAGTAATATATACATACCGTTTAAATAATTTTTACACCTGCCACTTATCTTATTTTAAAATTTTCAATTTCATTTTTTAATAAGGCTTACTTATATATATTCTTTACCTTCGTGAGGTATAAAATTTAAACTCTTTCATAAAGTAACATTAACAATAATATCAAATAACAACTAAGCATTATAGTGATGCCACATCCATTGATCATGCCAACAACTACGGAAGATTAACGTACCTCTGATTTGAGATTAATTACGTTCTACACAATGATATAAAGTCTTAATACGATCAATAATTAATTACTATCTCAGGTTAAAATTCATTAATATAATAGTGTACCAAATATGGAAAAATTACATAAACACATATTTTATTTTACCGTAATCTCTAAAATTTCCTATCATTTAAAAAATTACAAAAATTCTTTCTCGGATACATCCATATCCTCTCTCGGATACATCCCTCATTAAGTAATGTATCATTCACTATCCGTAAGCTATGTATCTGCAAGTTTCCTGATGTATCCGAGATTCGAGATTTTTGTAATTTGAAAAAAGAATAGGAATAAGATGTAATTAACTCTTTAACACTGAAATTTATATAATCTTTACAAAAAAAATTCTTAGAGTAATCAATGTATATCATGTTTAAAATTCATTGAATCAAAGTATCCTTTTATAATATAATATTTCCAATGATCATGATGATATCAAATCAAGGGACATATATCAAAATATTATTTTAAAATTGTGTTAAACGTGATATAAGGAACCACTAAGTTACGTACCAGCAGGCAATGTTCAAATATAAATGATCAAAGATTACTGTTAATCAGCAGGCCGGACAATTTTCCCTCAAAGACGTGCACATATAGACATAATTTATTGCAATTTGTTGGATAAAACGCCTTCAAATAGTTAAATCCTACCAAGAGGATGACAAGCAAATCGTCAATGGTTTGCGGGATATCTGCAACTGTTTACGGTCAACTACTATAAGCTGCCTTAAATTTGAGATATTTCATTTTCAGAAACATGGTTACTAGTTTGCATAATGACTATTTAGAAAGATGTTCTAATTGTTAGTAAACTTTATTTTGTGGTCTCACATGCATATTAATAAATTAAACCTAGATATACTATTATTAAAGTAGCACATTGTATGATCTAATAAATATTAAAGTTTATGATCTTAGAAGTAAATAACTATTCATAAAATATGTGTCCAGTATCGATCAATAGACCAGGTCCCTTGACATAATAACAATGCGAAAAATAAATAACAAAAAGTAAATTAGACACACAGATTTTTACATGGAAACCCCCTTGCTCAAGGGAGGAGAAACCATGACTTGTTCTCACATGATTTTCAACTCAGCTCCATTTCATTCAAAAAGGAGCACAGATTCAGCTTAAAGACTCCACTAATCTAGGATTTAACCTATTAATCCCTTTCCCCTAACTGTAACAACTCTGTTACCCAACATGAACTAAGCAACAACTACGTTTCTCACTACACCAATTAACTCTAGCAATATAGGCTTTACGATCTCAATACAACTAACTCTAGCTAACCTTTGAAATGATAATCAAGAACTTGACACTGATCTAATTCCTTTATAGCTTAGGAATATATCTTACATGAACGATCATAGAAATATAAACCCTACCAACTAAGAACAATGATAACTCTATCGTATCCCTTTATGTTCTTCGAGTCATATTTCCTAGCGAGAGAAAATTTACGCCCCCCACTCCCTACCCCCTACCAGCCCCTGCCCTCACCCCCCAT